CAGAAGATAGGAAAAAACAGTATCAGAAACAACTCATCCAAGATAAGATCAATAACACAGTTAACCTCATCAAATGAAAGAAAATTACAAACAAGCAGGTACACTACATAATAAACCAGGTCTTATACCCAGCAGTCGAGTATCTCCTCAACAACATGACCCTTTCAGAACAAGAATGTGACTGACTAAACAGCAAGATAGTTAAAATCTTTAAGCACAAAATCAACTTATCAAGAATAGCCCCCAACACCATCATTCATGCAGACTTTGGATATAGACTTTTCAACCTATAGAATAGATAGGTCCTGCTATATGGAAACAACTGGTCCAAAAGAATTAATGGCTTCAACACATGCAGCAAAACAGCATGGATCAGATTACAACAACTTCAAAACCAGTATTGGTCAAATACATCTATCTTAAAAGACAAATATCCCTTTTGGATAAAAAAATGACAGAACCTTACAAACGATATCCTCAATAAGCTTAAGGTACAGGGTATTACATTTGAGACAACAGAACACATGACCCTATATATTACCCCTCAAGGAGGGAAGACAGCGATCAAAGACATGATATCAAAAGAATGATATAATCAAAACAAACCAGCGTTAAAGAAAAGAGGTATTCTTTTTAAAGAACAGCTTATAAATGATGATTTATCAAGACCCCTCACATGGCAGCAACTCAGAACACACAAAGGCAGACAGGGAAGGACTCCAAGATGGTTTCAAGACCTATGACAAATTATATGTATAAACCCAAATCTGAACTTATACACAAATATATCAGATTCCTCTCTCAGCAACACAAATAATAACATATATAATAACACTCTAGTACTTTCATCTCAGCCACTGACAATTATCAAATGGATAGCTACAGAATCAGATAGAGAGATCGCAATATATAGAAAAAAGAGAATGGTAAACTCAAACAAGATAATAGTCAATCACATGACATCACTTTCATCATCGTCACCCTCTTCAAGTGTAAATAATGTCGAAGAAACAATCAGCAACTAAGGAATCAATATAAAGAACAAGATCAATGCATAGCAGAACTGATCAGGGCAAGAACTGTCAATATAACTGCAAATAACAGCTCCAAACCAAATAATCTCTATCAAGATCCAATAACAGAACAATAGGGCACATGGAATAGGTTATGCTCCACTCCCCAAGGAATTAAAAAAGCACTGCAAGAAAGAGAAATAGCACTAACAACTCCAGGGAAGACACCACAGATCCATATAGATTCACTCTCAAAAACAATATACTTAATACGTAGTAGACTAGTCAAATATCAAAATCTCACAAACCAGCTTACAGTTATTGCAACAGAAATCAGTAAACTCAACAATCTAAGGCTATATACAGATGGCTTCTTCACTAGACACCCAGAAAGAAGTAGAATGGGTTTAGGTTGGATCATAACCACGGAAGATGGAAAACAAGTAGCAGAATTCCAGACAGAAACACATGACATCTCCTCATCCACAAGAGCGGAACTAATGGCCATACTAATAGCAATAAGCATCATCAGTCCCAACAAAACTATCATCATCCTTATAGACAGCCAAGTAGAGATCAACATACTAAAAGCGTCCACAACTAGGAAGAGACACATAAGGAAAACAAACCAGTCAAATCAAATTCTTAGTAGCACTATCATAAATCTCATCGAAATCAAAAGATTGATAGTTAACTGGATAAAAGTCAAAAGTCACTCAGGCATTCCAGGCAACAAGAAAGCAGACCAGTTGACAGCTACAAGTATCACAGACAAACCCAAGCACATCATAACAGTTAATACATGGATGGCAACAACAATAAACATCCTTACTAGATGGAATTAAAAACAATATGACATTGCAATTAAGCCCCTAACAAGGCAGATCCTTAAGAACAAATGGGCAAGTAAATAGCGAACACTGCGCAGGAACTAGGACTGGCTGAACCAAAAAAAATCCAGTGAAATCCACTGGTCCTTAACATTCGAGCTTCTAATGACAACTAAAATTATAACAATAACAACCAATATGAGAAACCACACAGACCGCTCCTTCAGAATCAAAACATGGATGGGAGAACTATATATCTTGAACAAACTAAATGAAAGACATCCTGATATATATTTGAACAACAAGGGTAAGATCTGTAAATAGCACGGAGAAACGAACCACCATATTTTTCAATGTGATACAATACAAACAAAACTTCAGGAAGATTACCTATAGGCCCTAACAGAGGAAAGTGCAACAAGAGCTGAAGGCAAATAAACAGAATCGATTTAAAACAAATGAAAAGAACATCAATTATACAGGAGTACAATGAAAACATCCAAGCATGGCACCAAGTTGAATGGAAGGACATCATCAAGGGAGTCATAACACATGGCATGATCCAAGTAGCAGAATCTATAACCAAAGATAGAATTAGAGCACTAGATGCAATTAGAGAAGCAACACACAAATTCTGGCAAGCCAAGTGAGAAACATGAAAATAAAGATGTGACATTACAATTAGTTGGGAAAAAAGTCAAAACATAGGGAAAAAAACTCAAGTGCAGGAAGGGACAGGCCAAACGAAAAATATAGCCAACCATCAAATAATACCACAGAGTCCAGACTTACCAACCACACAAGTCATTAAATCCTTCAAGTCAGATCCAAAGCCTGAACGAGTCCAAATAGATCTAAACAAATATCTTAAGGACAGGTTTAGATGACTATACATAGAACTTACAAATATCATAATAGAGAACACCCTTAACAACAATTACTTCACTTTCTTTTTCTTTTCAATCAATATTAGTACTAATGGAGTCTTGACACGCTAGCACCCATCAAGATGGACTGCAACAAGTTACAAGGTTTCTAATAATAGAATACTGAGTTATAGTGTTTTTTCCTTTCATAAATATATAGACTTGCAATTAAATTTGTGTATATAAGCCTGTATTAATAAATAAATAAAAACTCAATGGCAGGACTTCGCCAGTTAAAAATATATATATATATATATATATATATAATTTTCTTTTTTAATACAGTATATATACAATTAATTACTGTATTTTAATTAATTTTTATTTATTGATTTTAATTGTTAAAGATTGAAGATTTATTTATTTTTTATTTATTTAATATATATTAATAGGTTTTTTTCTTTTTTTGAAATATATAATTAGTTATTTATAAATTTTTTTAAAATAAATTTCATTTATTTTTGTAATAATTTGAGTATATTACTTAAGTAAACTTTGGTTTTTTTTATATTATTTGAAATATTTATTATTATAACAATAATTTGTATATTTTATTTTTATTTATATAATAAATGTTTAAGATAGGGTTTATAGTTTTGTTTTTTGCAATATAAAAACTATATTTATTTATGTTGACTTTAGATTTATTTATTTTTTTTTTAATATTAGACATTATTATTTCTTTATTTACTATAGTAACAATTTATATTAAGGAAATTTTTATATTGATTAAAAAAAATTTTTTTAATTATATCTAGAAATATATTTTTTTCTTATTATTATAAATAGATTATATGTTAATTTGAAATTTATTTTTTATGAAATATTAATTTATTTAATTTCAAAATTTTTATATTAATTTTGTTAAAAATTATATACAGTATATTTTTAGAGTTGGTACTATTTTTTAATTCAAGTGTTAATATTTTTTTAATTGATAATTTATTGTAAAACCTATAGTTTATTTTTTTTGTTATATTTTTTTTAATGATTATTTTAAGATATCAATGGTATTTTTTTTTCTTTATTTATTATTTGAAATATTTTAAATCTTACTCATAGTATCTATAATAAAATAAAAATAATATTAATAAATAAGTTATATGAGAATATTATAATCATATGATATAGAATAACTTTATATATATAATATATCGTTTTAATATCTTTCTGTTTTATTTGTATTATTTTGATCTTTGTTTGATTTAAATATAACTTAATTATTTTTACTTACTAATATTATATCTGTTATTAAGATATTTTATATATTATTATTATTTATCATATTCTGTTAATCTGTTGTGATTATTGATTTTATTAAATCTAATTACTTTGTTGAACTGTTATAATAAATTTTTCAAAATTTTATTTGTGTATTATGAAAAATACATAATATACTGTATTTTAAAAAATAATGAGTTAAGGATAATAATTAATATTAAAATTTTAATTTAAAAATATTAATAATTATTTAAATATAAATCAAGATAAATAATAATTATTTAACAAATAATAAAATAACATTAATCTTAATAAGTATGTTTTGTATTATATTTCAAATAATTTAATTTCAATATAAATAATAATAATAATTATAACAAAAAAGATATTTAAGAAATGACCCAAGAATAAGTAAAAAAAAAATTAATCAAAAATTTTTTAATTAAATATAGTTTTTATCAATTTTATGTTTTTTAATAGTATAATTGAATTTAAATCAAATTAACCGATTTAAACTAATATCAAGATTTTTTTTTTTTTTTATAGATAACAACAAATTTTTAAAAAATAAAAAATCAAATATTTTTTATTCAAAAATATTAATATTTTTAAATAAATAACTACAAAAAAGTTATTTAATATTATTTTTTTAAATTTTATTTCTACTAAAATGAAGAGTTAAGCTTTATTTTTTAAAAAAATCTATCAAAGTTTGTATCATAATGTTTTAATGATCTATTATTATCTATAGATCTTTATAATTATAATACTTTTTTATAAAAGAATAAATTAGTGGATAAATAGATACGTATAAAAATAGAATTAATATAATGTAGAGATATTGATAAATACTGTATATTAGTAATCAATAAAGACATTATACTGTATATTGTATATGTATACTAATGTTTAAAATACAAAATGTTATTGGCAATAAAAAATAATGATATTATTTAATCGAAAAGAGTCATAAAACCTGATTGTATTCTGGTTCATTTTAATATGCCGATTTAACTGGCCAGGCCAATTAAGTTAATTAAACTGTTTGCATGTCCAAGACCAGCCGTTCTACGAGTCCTGTGAAATTCCGTGTTACCAAGATAAGCCGAACGTGCTCCTAGCGAATTTTTGATTTGACCATTAACTGCGAACAAAGATTTTTTATTTTCATGGGGAAAGAAATCCACATGTAATCTGAATTTTGCACCTACATATTTATTTATACTTGCGAGGATTGCACAAGAATTAGTCCGGTGTTTTTTCATGCCAGTTGAGCCGTAACATGGAGAAGACTAGTTAGTTCTACAGGACAATGGATCTTGAAATCATGTTACCTCTCCATTTTCTTTTTCCGGGGACATACAGTATGTGCGTTCAGACTTACATTCGGATAACGTCGATAATAAACAATAAGAAATTTGGGTTTTCTGAAGTCTGCATTGTTCGCGTGGCCATAATTTCCTCGCTTTTTGAACCATTCAATTATGCGAGGAAATCATCCAATTTTTAATTCGATATGGTCAATGCACATTTTACCGTTGCAACTCCTTACCATATTTCCAGTTTTTACGATGCAGCATTTGATCGTATAATTACACTGCTGACGAAATTTTGATCGTACTGTATATGCACATAATATATGAGGCATCTCAATAACCGACGAATGATTGTTTCCGATTAATTCCCATGGATGAAGAATAATGAAAAGACAGGTCACATCTCTCTCATGCCAACATGCCAATTATACGGAGCTATTTCCTATTTTTAACACACGCTTATAAACTTTAAGACGACTATGTTGTGACCTAACCGAAAATCAGATTTAATGAGTCCACAAAATGTCGTGTTCTAACCATACAAGTAACTGAGAGGAAATAATCAAATTGTTTAATCTCAGATCCGTGTTTTATAGAGGACACGTTCTTCACTTTTGCCAATACATTCGTTGACAAGTGATATCTAATGCATAAAATTTTAGATTATCGACATTAATACTATGTTAGGAAAATCGAGGCCTCGAGGTGATTTAGTAAGTCCTATATAAAAATTCTTTGAAGGAGTGTGGTTGTATCCTGAAAAGGGTATCGAAATCGTTAGGAATCGGCAATTATAAAGTCTTTAATCATGTGATGTGATTTCAGAACTCGAGATAGTTTGCACGACTAAATCAGGATCCGTATTTTATAAATGAAGGTTTTTTATTCGCACCATTTTTCTCAGTCTCCTTTAAGGCCTTATCTTGTAAAAATAACAGAGAAAAAAAAAAAAAGGAAAAAAAAATTTTTTTTTTTTTATTTTTACAAATCATATAAGCCAAGGTTCGTCTTGATAAATTTGTGCGCTCTCAACACGAAAAAGGAGTGGTTTCTTTTATTGCGCGGACTTTGATAAAAGTTCGTTTATTCTCAACGTTACCACTATTCCCTTTAATTTGCCACGTGAATTTTTACACACCATTTCCATGACGAAGCAAAAATTTTGTCCAAAGAGAATGTCATATATAAGCAGCAATGTATTAAAAAATGTTTTATCTTTCGACATCCTCCACAGAAGATGACGGAATCATCATGGTTTACATGTCTATCTGCATTATTATGTTCCCTCGGATTCACTTCATGGAATTGCAACAGACCGATCATGGCGAGAATCGGATTCTCGGTAAGTGTCATGTTACTGATTCTTATATGCCAGCATTCACGAACTTACAATTTATCATTGATTTTTATCGAAGATCATTTTTCTTCTGAATTCGACGGTATGTTGCGAATCATCTGTGAACGTGGCTTTTTGATAGATAATTTCTAAACTGGATTAATTTTGCTGTCAGTTTGCATGGTTGATGATGTCTGATTGGGCCATAAAAAAACTCAGAAAGAAAACAAACAATTACTTGGATCTGAATTGTCCGAATGAGGATTGTTACGGCGTAATAGCGGTATACAATTTTAAAATGCTTTACGTTGTGCAAAGTAGAAAATCCTTTTGATCACTGAGCACGTTCATTTTCTGCAGGTTCACCGGATTTGCTTCTCTCTCTCTCTCTTTCATTTTATTCTAGCCCGCCTAGTTATTGGTGTTAAAGATAAACGCGAAAAATGGGCTTTGATACAGAATGGGTAGGAATGCTTTCACGTTTAAATTCTATTCCGTATCAATCCATCACGTGACTAACCACTTTTTTTTTTAAAAAAAAAAAAAAAAAAAAGTTGGTGGGGGGCAAAAATCTTATTATGGATTTCCTTGGTTGTAGCATCGTTCTTCGTACCAAATGAATTCTTTATGTTCTGGGGAAATCTTGTTTCGATGGTCGGTGCCGTCCTCTTTATTCTTCTCGGGCTAATTCTTTTGGTCAACTTTGCGCACAACTGGGGTGAGATGTGCATCGAAAAAGCCGAATCTTCCATAAACAGCAAAGTGTGGAAATACATTCATATATGGTCGACGGTCATGATGTTTACCGGAGCACTTATTCTCAACATTATGGTGTGCTTCTACTTTGCAGATGACGAATGTATTCTAAACATATTTTTTATAACCTCAAATGTAATATTGTGCGTTATTGGAGTTTGCCTCTCCATACATCCGGCGGTTCAAAAAGGAAATCCCAGGTCCGGACTTTCACAGGCTTCGATGGTGGTGCTTTATTGTACCTATCTCGTTGTGAGTGCAGTCGTGAATGAACCAGCAAATCATATTTGCAATCCGCTGATTGGTGGCCATAAGGCACGAAAGACTACGATTGCTCTTGGTTCCATGTTTACCTTCCTGGCGCTTACTTATTCAACGTCAAGAACCGCAATTGAGGGAAAGAAGTTAATGCTTGGTGCAAATCATTCCCAAGTCAGGGATAACGATACGGAGAATCCGTTAAGGATCGTCAGAGCCAACGGCGAAAAGTCCGGTTATTGTTCTCATGAAAAATGGTATGTTCAAATTCACGCATTGCATAACCTGTATGAAGAAAAAAAGCTTAGTCTGAATTATTGATGTGAATTAAAAATTCTTCTAGTATCAGTAATACACTACCGACATGTGGATCGCAAATAGATGAAAAGCACAATGTCGCGTATAGTTATGAATTTTTCCATTATGTATTCGCAATCGCTTCAATGTATGTGGCAATGTTGTTGACTAACTGGTAAGCGAATTGTTTCATGGTGATTTTTTTTCAACAAAAAATCCGTACCAAATGTTTAACTTGTCATCAACCATTTTTAGGAATACGGTGAACATGACGGGTAAAGAGAAGCTGGTTGAAATAGGGCATAGTTATGCAATTGCATGGATAAAGGTCATGTCAAGTTGGATATGCTTATTTATTTATTATTGGACATTGTTGGCTCCCGTATTCCTGCCACATCGATTTAAAGTAGGCCTTTTTGGTTTTGGGTTTTGGGGGGTTTTTTTTTTCCTGCTATGTACTTTGTGTGTTTAAACTTACTGTTTCACTGGTTTTTTTTTTTTTAAAAAAAAAATAAAAGAAGTACGATCACGCCACCTCGGAAATATCAGAAAAATCAGAAAAGTCAGAAAAATCAGTATTGGTAAATAACATCCACAAAGTTTGATTTTTTTTTTTAAAAAAAAAAAAAAAGAGGGAGACGTTTTGATCAAACAGTTTACGAAATCAGTATCACATATTCGAACTTTCTATAGCGATAAATAAATACAAGCGTTTCATTTTTTTGTTTTAAATTTCTTTCACATGTATTATAATTTATTTCATTAGAATAGAGGCATACAAATCAGCATCAAAGTAAATAATGACTTTTTTAAAAAACATAGATGGATATATGAATTATAATAAGTCATTCCTGCTTTAGACAATTAGCTATAACTATATATTTTTTAAGACCTTGTATACAGTAATTAAGACATGTCATCCGGTCGATCGACTTGGTGATCCTAGGGATCTCGAAATCAATTGTAGATTTTTTTATTTACTCAATTATCTTTGATAATTCTTAAAGCTATTACTCTCGATTATTAATTGAACATATGTAATTACAATCTTAATCAAATTTATTACCTATTATATACTGTACATTGTTATGTTTAAATAAATAAACAAATATATATAGTATACTGTATATCATAATAATTATGATGGTTAACTTTTTTATAGCTATGATATCATTTTCGAAATCCAACATCAAAAATTTTAGCATCCTTGATATCCTTAAAGCATCCATATAACAAACAATTATTCTAAATACAGTATAAATAGTAACAAACTGTCCTCAATAATCGATAATATATATATATATATAGTATATACTGTATATTGTATTTACAGTATTTTTGAATTTGTGTATACAGCCGAGATATCAAAACTTGGAATATATCAAATAAAAAATGACTGTTTAATCAATAACTTGGCTTTACTTTGTTCGCATATACAGTATACCGTATATCATTTATCAATTACTGTAAATTATATCAATAATTAATATAATATTATACGACATACTGTTTAAATCTTAAAAATAATAGATTAATTATTTTTTTTTTTTGCAACAATGTATAATCACTTTCAAAATTTTAAATCATCTGGCACGATTACAGTAGATCATAAATTGGAATTACTTTATTACCTTTTTAATTTTAATTTTTACTTTCCAATTAAAAAGAATATAAATCATTTGTTTTTAAATCTAATTTCTGATTTTATTATTGTTATCATATAAAGTTTTTGTAAATCGAGCTATCATCTATTTATAAAAAAAAATATATATTTTTTAATGTAACCTTGAAGATAATATTTTATTTTCTACAAATTTGATTTAACCTTTAATTTATAAAATAATGGATTATCAATAATTATTATTGTTATGTTGTATTTATGATTTATTTTTAATTAACTATAAAATTGATCTTACAAGTGATTTTTTTAAATTGTTTTATACATTTTAAATTTATTTGTTACTATCTTTTTTTTTATGCAATTATTATTTAAAGATAATTTATTATCATATTTAATTATTTTTTATTTTAAAATTAGAATTTTATAGAAATTAAAAATACAATCAAATTTTGAATTTTAAATTAGAATAAAATTAATTACAAATAACTAGGTGACATATAAATTTTTTATGAATTTTTTAATAAATAATAATTTAAAAAAATTTTAAATACATAAATTTATAAAGTCTATTTTAATTAGAAAATAATTTTTAGATAATGAAATTATAATAATTAGATTTTAAAATTTAAAGATAATTATATTTACAATAATAGAAATTAAATAATTTAAGTTTACAGTTTGAAACAAAACTTTTTATTCTCTTTTTTTTTTTATTCCATTTTTATTCATAATTTAATATTTAATATTTTTTTTTTAAGTACCCGTAGCCAGGCTAGATCATCAGTTTATTAATCAAATGAAGACAAAAGTATATTTTCATTCGAGCAGCATGA